ATTTTCACGACTTACAGGTAAGCTCACCTTCCTGCCGCACAGTACCTACTTACGTGCCAGTACCAGGCTAATTTTCATGACTTACACAGGTACCATTTTCGGAATTAACTTTTTTTTTTTTTTTTTTCGCACATAGTTCAATTCTACCACGTCGAGATGGATTTTTTTTGCGTCTTATGTGCCCCACCTCGCACATAGAAGTCGTAACCAACCAGGAACACTTGTTACGTCCTTTAATCTAGGTTTTTTTTTTTTTTTTTTAACTAATTTTATTTCTTTCCTACTATATTTATCACGCCAAGCTTCTTACGAATTGGTACGCATATTCATCACTAACAATTTTTTCTTCAGTCCCAGGATCAATGCCAAATTCTTTTATAAATTCCCGTCGGACGAGTTCTTGCTGAGATCCTTTGATAATCCAATCTCGCAATAGAAGCAATTCACTGGGAAGATTCGCGACCAGGTTATAATTGTGAAACTGAAGCAAATAAACAGCTTGTCGGGAGTTCAGTTTCTTCAGGGCAAAATGGTTTCCGATCGTTAAGTGGGCGTAGACGTGAAATAGTTTTCCATACTGATTTATTGCACCGTGGTATTTTAATTTCTGACGCCTTCGCCTGCTCAACTTCTCATATTTCATCAGTTTAGCAGGGTGGTTTGCGCTTTTCCTTCTTGTTGAGACAGGGCTTCTTCTCCGTTCATATAGGCTTCTTGGACTTTAGGATTGCCATTTTCAGCAGGTTTCCTATTCCATTCCAATTCCGTCTTGTTGACTTCTTTGTTATTTTGATTGCAAGATCCAAAATCGGATTGCTCCTTCAGGTTCCTTTCAGCATTCTTCGAGTACCATTCAAACGCTTTATTTTTATCCTTTTCAACGCCGATTCCATGTTGATAGCCGTTACCAACGCCATATGTTCCATCAGGGGATCCCTTCGCATCGTCATGGTCCATTTCTGCTGACTCCATAGTGTTATCTTCAGCTTGGTTCGGGTACCATTCAGGCTTCTCTTTTTCAACTCCAATCCCGTTTTGATAGCAAGGTTCAAGGTCAGTTTTTTCATCAACACAACCTACAACAGCAGGTTTTTGGGAGCCGCCAAATTCCTCACGATCGTCAAGACTATTTGGTTTATCCATATGGTCCATACCCGATTTTCCATTATCACGACCAGTTTCAGCTGTTTTTTTATGATATTCAGGTTCGGTATTTGGTTGGAGTTTTTCTTCGTGCGGCGG